GATTCCTCAGCACCACATAAGCAAAAAGAAAAAAGCCGGAAGTGGTGCTGTGGCTCAAGTGGTAGAGCGCTAGCCTTGAGCTGAAGAGCTGAGGGACGGGGCCTAGGCCCCATGACCGGACCTTCCCCCCCCAAAAAAAACCCTAGGTCCAGTCTCTCACTCACAAAAAACAATGTTTTGACAGACATAAAGCAACATTAGCAAGTGAACATCAGTACCATATTATTTCACAGATATGCATTTTTTTCATATCCTCCTTTAGACTAATGAATGTTTAGTGTCCTGACCAGTAAACTATTCACGGATAGTTCGTCTAATGCCGGTTACCTAAAATCCAGCCTTTTATATTAATGAAGATAATGATATCCACAGATAGTGATAGGTATTCTCATCCATTCATGGGGTGAAAACAAGCTACTCAGAATATTTATACCTGGACAGTGTGACGAAGGCCTAAAAGGACCAAAAAAAGTCCTTCTTTTTCTATGCTTTTGAGAATTCTTGGTATATACAGCCATTGCTTCCCAGCATATACCACTGAAGCCTTGTGAGACTGGCAGTGTTCCAAGGGTTCTGCCCTTCAGCCACTTTCCCTGACAGAAATTAACCAACCATACTAATGCGTTCCATGGGTGTGAGCAGTGTTTAAACATCTTCTTTCTTTTTTTTACAAATAAATGCCTTTATTGGAAGAAATACATACTTTCTCATTGCTAATAATCATGCTATAATAGCAATTGTTTTAACTAGCTATAATTTATAAACTACTGTCAGTTTCTTTATAAATTTTGATTAGACTGATCTTTTAATTTAAACTTATTTTTTAAAAAAACACCTCTCTAGGGCTGGGAAGGTGGCTTAGTGGTAGAGTGCTTACATAGCATTCATGAAGCTAGGAGTTTGATTCCTTAGTACCACATAAACAGAAAAAGCCAGAAGTGGTGCTGTGACTCAAGTGGTAGAGCACTAGCCTTGAGCACAGAGAGCAGCTCAGGGACAGTGCCCAGGCCCTGAGTTCAAGCCCCAGAACTGGCAAAAACAAAAACAAAATACCCAAATCTCTTCAGCTTTAGTGATGTTAGGGTGCTAAGACGAAGGCAAGGTGATCTCAGAAGCCCTTAAATAGATGTTCTTATTTGTAAGTCATTTCTCTGTATCAGAAGGGAGCATCTTTCTTCCATTCTATCATACTTTTCTTCCCTGTTATTATTTGAGGGAGCTTAATCTCAGAGTCTGGTACTTGTTCAGCTTGGTTGCTCAGCTAGTATTCTACCACTTGGGCCACATCTCTAGCCTGGTAATTATTTTGAAGATAGAGTCTTGCAGACTTTTCTTCTCAGACCAGCTTTGAGCTATGATCCTCTGGAACTCAGCCTTCTGAGTAGCTAGGATAGCAGGCATGAGCCCCACTCGCTTCTGGACTTTTCTGATCAAGAAGTAGAGCCAGTATGTGATCCTCTTTTATAACTAGAAAAAGTTCTCAAGCAGTTTTTATTAGTGTATTCTTTAAGAATTATAAGACAGGTTCTTGCTATGTAGCTCAAGCTGGTCTCAGGCCTCTGATTCTCCTCTCAGGTAAGCATCTTCTTTCTCGACCCACCTTTTCCTGAGTCTCTCCATCAGACTTATTTATATCCATCTTTTCAGCCTGAACCCTTTTCCATATAAAAGGATGAAATGTGATTGCCTAAAAGTATTTTGAAATTGGCCGAGATTTATGTAGGCCAGTGTACTTATAATTAAAAGTAAATAAATGACATTTGAAAAAGTGTTGTCTTGCATTACAGCAATTTCCAGTGTATGTACTGCCAAAACTAGAATATCAAGGTTGTTACGGAGTTGAAGCTCTAACTGAAAGTGAACTTTGTCGCTTATGGACTGAAAGTTTATTGCATTCCAACTGCTCCTTTTATGTTGGTATGTTATACAAATCTTTATTCTCTTTTAATTCTCGCGCGCGCGCGTGCGTGCGTGCGTGTGTGTGTGTGTGTGTGTGTGTGTGTGTGTGTATACATGTTGAAATTTAATTGAAAATATTTCCATGCTGAACTTTTGTACTTTCCTTTTTCTGATTAATTCCCATTTCTGCACAAAATAGCAAGTGGAATTAGTGATGCTACATGGTTCATTTTGAACTTTGTCAGTTGTGGGGTTTGAACTCAGGGCCTGGGCACTGTCCCTGAGTCTCTTTGTGCTCAAGAATAGCTCTCTACCACTTTGAGCCACACCTCCACTCTGGGTTTCTGGTGGTTCACTGGAGAAAAGAGTCTCCTGAACTTTCCTGCCCAGACTGGCTCAGAACTGTGATCCTCAGATCTCAGTCTCCTAAGTACCTAGGATTATAGGCATGAGCCACCAGCCCCTCCCTCTCAACTTTTTTTTTTAAGCTAAACATAAAGCCAGGCATCAGTAGCTCACACCTGTAATCTTAGCTACTTGGGAGGCTGAGATCTAAAAATCATGATTCAAAGCCAACAGGGCAGGAAAGTCCTTGAGAATCTTATCTCCAACTAACACCAAAAAGCTGGAAGTAGGGGCTGGGAAGGTGGCTCAGTGGTAGAGCACTTGCCTTGCATGCCTGAGGCCCTGGGCTTGATTCCTCAGCACCACATAAGCAAAAAGAAAAAAGTCAGAAGTAGCGCTGTGGCTCAAGTGGTAGAGCGCTAGCATTGAGCTGAAGAGCTGAGGGACAGTGCCCAGGCCCAGAGTTCAGGCCCCATGACCGGAGCCCCCCCCCCAAAAAAAAAAAAAACTGGAAGTAGTTGTGGCTCAAAAGCAGAAAAGCTAAGGAACAGTACTTAAGCCCACAGTACAAGCCCCAGTACCTGTACAAAAAAAAGAAAGAAAATAGATCTGGGAAGGTGGCTCAGTGGTAGAGTGCTTGCCTCACATGCATGAGGCCCTGGGTTCCATTCCTCAGCACCACATAAGCAGAAAAAGCCAGAAGTGGCGCTGTGGCTCAAGTGGTAGAGCACTTGCCTTGAGCTGAAGAGCTGAAGGACAGCGCCCAGGCCCAAAGTTCAAGCCCAAGACCGACAAAAAGGAAAAGATTTGATCCTGTACATTGAATTGAATTGCTTTGAAGAATAGGAAATAATACTTTACAGTTTTTATTTTCCCTTTATATTTATAATTGACGAAGAATTTCTAATATTTTGACAAGATATTTAAAGGAAGTGCAATCATTTTCTCCTTGCTTATTAAAATTGTATGCATGAGGCCACATGTATGCTCATTTTTATGGACCTGCAATATGTCCAAAGTTAGGGCTGCTTGTATGTATATATGTATATGTGCTTCTATGTATAAATGAATGAATGTACATGAAGGCTTTCTTTGTACTATGTCAAGCAGTCCCTTCCAGCTTTGATATATCTTTAAGGTATTTGTACACTATATTGTGCTATTCAAAAGAGATTGCTGACACTACAAGGCAGTGTGGCCAGACAGCTTTTATGCCATTCCAAACTTTACTCAGCTGCCCCTAGAGCCGAAGGAGATAAATAAGTGTCTCTGGCATACACAGAGCTCACTTGAGGACTGCCGGATAGAAAGCTCTGATGCTGAGAGTGAGTGCTCCTTCAGGAGTCATTTTTGACACACCTAATTTGACTTATACTTTAATGCATTCTTTTGTCATTGAGTTTCTTTAAAAAGGTAAGAGCTGTTTGTTAGTCTCCTCAAAGGCTTATTTAGTAAACATCTAAAAATATATTACTGCACTAAATGTCCTCTTTTATGGTTATTAAATCATGAAAATGTGTCTTTATTTGAAATGTCTCCATGTAATGAGTATTAGAAAGGCAGAGATAAAACTAAGCCTTGGCATTGGAAATAACAAGGAGGTGGGAACAAATGGGTTTGTTGTCTTAGAAGGAAGACATCTGGTAAAAATGTTCCTCATTAAATTCTTTTGAGCATAGAGCAAATGAAATTAAAGTGTGAGGTATTAAATTACATGCAATTTTTTTTGTTGTTCCAGTGATTTATATCAACTTTTCAGGTAATTTGTTTTGACAACAAAATAATAGAAGTTTAAAAATAAATCCAAGCTGGTTATTATTTTCCTTTTATGTTAACTGATATTTTTAACCATGGTACACTAGCACAGTTCCCTTGTTGACTTGACTATGTAAAGTACCTTTTTTTTTTTCCTTCTTTGTGCTCATAGTGGGACTTGAACTTAGTCTTTGCACTCTCGCTTTGTTTTTGTTTTTAAATCACTCAAGCTGCTGCTCAATCACTTGAGTCACATTTTCACTTCTGGGTTTTTGCTGTTAACTAGAGATAAGAGTCTCATGGGCTATTCTGCCCAGGCTGGCTTCAAATGAGGAGCCTCAGATCTCAGCCTCTCAAGTAGCTAGGATTATAGGCGTGAGCCTCTAGCAACCAGCTTGACTATATAGTTTCTGACTCTGAATATCTAATATGCAACTCTTCCTTCATATATTACAACATTACAACACCTCAGTGTTCTGTCTTAACCTGTTTTCTTTAAAAATAAATAAATAAATGACATTCTTTTAAAAACAAGTGTCATTTTGAGAATGTGCTGTTTTGTTTTTTTGGAATTCTACATTCGTATCATGCTTACCTTCCTAGGTAAGACTTTGAGCAAACTTCATTACACTTGGGAAATCTTATGGTGTGCTTATATTAATAATAATTGCTATCTAATTTTATCTTAAGAGCCACATGTGTCTAAGAAATATATTGAGCATGCCTAGTCTCTAAGGTTTAGATTTTAGTTTGTCTTCGTAAGTACTTATTTCCTTTGTAAACTCCATAAAAATGCAACTTTAATAGGAATTGGCAACACCAATATTGAGCAGTTATAATTCCTAAATTGAAGGCTTAGAGATTATTTTGGATGCTTGGACATATGTGAAACTTTCTGCATTCAGCAAATATTTTAGAATGGACATGTTATTTCTTCTATAATGTGGATTTTGTCATTTTAAAATATACTTTTAGATTTAATAAAAAACCACGTGTATCTCTTTTAGAATGTAGAAATCTGAGTTATTAAGCTTTTATAAAAACATCTTTAATTAAATTCAGTAACTTGTTTGGTTTTTTTGTTTTTTAAATGCAACTGCTTGGGGTTTTTCAACTTTTCTATTTTATTTTAGGACACATTGATGCATTTACTTCAAAGCTTTTCCTGCTAGAAGAAATTACCTCCGAAGAATTAAAAGAAAAACTTTCAGCTCTCAAGTAAGAAAGCTTATTTTGTGGTGGGATTTGGAAAAACTCATTAGTGTGATCACCAGTTCTTTAGCTCTAAATACCGGCTACGTTAAAATAGCTTATTTTCAAGACTTTTGATCATTTTATATAGTAAGGCTTCCCCCTGATTCCAGCTGGTGATCCTTTTATATTGTCTCTATTTCCAAATTAATTATGAATGCCATTACTGTCATCTCCTTCAGACAAAGTAAGGAGGCTAGAGCCAGAAAGCAGCGCCATGATGAAGTGTATGGAAACAAACATTTTAGCCCTGTCTAGAAGAAAGGGAGGAGTGAGAAGGGAAGGGACAGTCATATGCTCTCAGGACAGTGCACTGATTAGACCTCTTAACCTCTAACCATTCACCCTTCCTGTTATAGACTTCAGAGCCACATGAATCCATCTGTTGTACTATTGTACTCAGAACTCATTTTTTTGTCTCACTCTGTGTGTATGTGCATGCGCGTGCGAGCATGCATTGTCTCACTCTGTGTGTGTGTGCATGCGCGTGCGAGCATGCATTGTCTCACTCTGTGTGTGTGTGCATGCGCGTGCGAGCATGCATTGTCTCACTCTGTGTGTGTGCATGCGCGTGCGAGCGTGCGTATGTGTGTGCACATGTGTACACATCTCCTGGCAAAGGAGTTTAACTGCCAGGTCTATAGCTTAGCCTTGCTAGACTTAGAACTTTGGGCAAGTTGTCTCACATTTCTAGTTTGGTTAGTTATCCCTAATTTATAGTTCAAAGTTAATGTTATGCCGCAAAAGTTTGCACATATGTATATAATATGTATACTATATATGTGTATATATACTCTGTGTGTGTATATGTGTAGCCCAGATTGGCCTAAGGATCCTCCTGCCTCTGTTTCTCAAATGTTAGAATTACAGATGTTTGCTTCCATACCTAGCTGATACTTAGAACTCTTAAAATTGCCTAAATGCAAGGGAAAATAATGTAAGAATGTTGTCTCATTTGCATCTCACAATGTGCCATGGAAGGCTGGTAGTGGTGTCCTTGCCATTTACTTATAAGGAAATGGGAACTTAAGAGTGACTCACTCCAAAGCACATGGCTGAGCTAGAGTCAAGAGTCTGTTAATCTGTAGTGAATCTGTTTAACTCACCACTTACAGTGAGAAATTGTCTTAACTTACATTAACTGTATAGTTCCCGTTTTAAGGGTTGACCTAGGTTAATTGTCTTATATGCAAGTACACCCCTTTAAGAATGAATCCTTCAGTAAGAATCTCTTGAGCAGTAACTTTACATGTGTGATTAGAAAAGCTCCTCCATGTCCCACTCACTTATCTCACTTCTCCCAGTGAAAATCATTTTTCAAACAGACAAATACTGCCAGGTGCTGATGGCCCATGCCTGTGATCCTAGCTACTTGGGAGACTGAGATCTGAGGGTCCTGTTTGAAACCAGCCTAGGGGAAACAAACTGAGAGACTCATCTCCAAGTAATCAGAAAAAAGTCGGAAGTGTCGGTGGGACTCATATGGTAGAGCACCAGCCTCGAGCAGAAAAAGCTAAGGTTATGAGACCCTGATTTCAAGCCCTGCTCTGATACAACCCAATACTTTATAATTTTGAATGGAAATCAAGAAATGACAAAATGAGCAGACACAATTTTATCTCACCATAAATTAGTTTGGCAGTCTTTGCTTTACATTATCTACTAGCTCCTTTTGTCTTTGAGGGCAGTTTTTCTCTTGAGAAGCTATCTTTTTTTTTTTTTTTTTTTTT